AGTGGAGAGGGTTCCCTACACTCTTAGGCAGGAAGGCCAGCCTCGAGCAGTGGGATCTAGCAGGTTGGAGAGGTATCCCATAGGCTGTTGGGGAGGACCCAGCAGTTGGGTGAAACTAGGAGAAACTTGCCTTCCTATGCCTTTGAGATACAAATATTCTACCTTGTCTTCTCAGGGAACTCTGATCTCACCATCTTTTTAAAATGCAGATTTCAAAAACAAGGGGGGCAGTGATAAATAATTTGGAACTTAATTTGTGAAAGACAAGTAAAAATTTTATCTCTTTTTCATAAATATTAGTAAAAAGGCGTAGCCATCTAGATGGGCAACATTGATTTGTTCTATCTGCCAAAAACCCCAGTTTAAATCCAACCTCTTTTGGAGCCAGTGGGTTTTGCTTTGTTATATTTGATTCATGACTGAAATTTTAAAATGAAAACTATAAAGTGTCTGATTTGTATGTCACAGATGTATGGTATTGGCACAATTAAATGGTAAAAGCTCTCTTTAATTGGCTGAAAGGAAATTAAAGTACTTATATAAGTACTCAAACACAGAGAAAACTGGCCAAAGTAAATCTCAGGTTCACGTTATCTAAAAAGGATTCAGTGCTGGTATTGGTATTGAAGCTAGCTTAAGCTAGTTGGTTTAATTAATATAAACATGTCTTTAGAGACATCAGTGTTAAGTATAATACTTCTGTTGTGCCTAGGCTTACTAGAGGGCAAGCAAAACTTTATTATGTCTGTTACAAATTTGACAACTAAAAAAGTAACTCAGTGTCAAAAAACTTTTAAAAAGTAAGCAAAATAGGAGATTTGGAGTAAATTCTATAGGAGCTTTCTTTTGAAAGTATCTACCTAAAATTGTCTCTCCAAATTTTGGTACTTAAAACTTAGAGCTAAATTAAAAAGTTCACTGACTATCTGTCATTTATAAAATATTAAAACATTAATTGCTGGGCAGATCTAAGTTTATCTACCTTTGCCTTAGGGAAAAAAAAAAACTAAAACATAAGTTTCTAGTCAGAAATGGTGGTATGACAACCAATTCACAGTTGCTTGCTTCTAGGTTTTTAAGTTCCAAATTATTTATTCCCCCTGTGAACGAAAAATACTGCAAACCGTATCAGTAAACAAAGAATGCTGAAGTCATCAAGTCATCAACCGCTGCCGCCACCCCCCAGTGAAGACCAGCCTGCAGCCCAGCCTCTGCAGCCGCTCACAATGGTGCACCCTGAGGGGACTCAGAATAAGAAAGGACAGGATACCTGCCCTTGATAGCTAGGAGCTTGTCAAAAGAATGAATTCAATGAGCCCAAATGTTTTCTTCCTCCCATACACAGAAAAGTGCTAAATTCTTTAACTTGAGATGTCTGGTTTTCTTTAGGTAACAAGTAATCTTTTATTGTTCCAACTACCTGATACTTTGTTTTAAAGCTCCTATGTATCCTAGCCCCTCCCCTACCTCTCCAGAGCAATTACTCAGAGCGATCTGAGAGGCTGTCATCCCGGCTCCTCCCGCCAAATAAAACATAACTCTCAATTTTTAGGCTGCACATTTATTTCCATCGACACACTTTTTTTTTTTAAGATTTGCATTTTAAAAAGATGGTGAGATCAGAGTTCCCTGAGAACACAGGGTAGAATATTTGTATTTCAAAGGCATAGGAAGGCAAGTTTCTCCTAGAAAGACTTTGTCTTTTTAAGGCCAGAAAAATAGTCTTTTTTAAAAAATTACTTGTCTCTTAAGATACATAGGGGAGGTTTTGGGAGTGGTAGAATTGATGGGTTTTGTATCATTTTTAGAGCCACACCTCTGGTCCTGTAAAGACCAGATTTGTAAAACAAAGACAGTTTTGTTTTTTCTCATTTAGCTTAGGGGAGAGTCTTCCAAAAAATTTTTATTAGGCTCCGAATATCAGCTATGGTCAGTTTAGTCCAACTGTTTTCGAACACTTTTGAGGAGCCTTCCTGGGTTTGAAAAGTTTTTAAATTAAGGCTCTTGGTTTGGCCTCTGATCAGAAGAGGTTTGCCTTTAGCCTCACGTGGTCCTATTTCTAATGATAACCTGACAGTAGTAGCTCTGTCAGGGACCTCAGTTTCCCAGACAGCAGGGTTTCCTTGAGAATCAATATGGTGTGGAAGGGAGACCTTTTTGGCTTGGGACTGAGGCAGACTCCCAAAGCCAAGAGTAGACATTTTGGGGGGTGCATGTCTTTCATGTAAGGGTCTTCAAATTGGATTACTTCTTGGGATTTACTGAGCAAGTAGGTCCCTTCCCAATGAGGGGATGGGGCACTCAGCCACCAACAAAAACTCCTGTGTAAAAGTGAATTTTTAGTAAGCACCTTGTTTGGGGCCTTCTATTGATCCCTGTTATTACACAGGATTGGGAGGACAAGGGTCCAAGGAAATCAGTCGGCACAGAGTAGGTGGCTCGCTTAGCTAATAAGAAGACAACTCTTACCTGTCACGTCAAGGGTTACCCAAGGCTCCGCTGGAGAAATGATCCAGTGTCCTGTGGGAACCAGGGAGCCAGGGAGCGTCCCGGGCCCCGTCAGTCTTTAGTCATCTCAGCCGTCATTGGTTTGGGAGTCCCAAGCCCCCTTCCAGACTGGAGGCAGTCCTGCCCCCAGTGGCCTTTTTGTTTGCATATGGGGCAGGGTCCTGGTGGCCTTTTCCCATACATGGGGCATTTCTTTTTCCAGTGGCCCTCCTGGCTGTACTTAAAAAACAGGTCCCTTTTTTGGCGAAACAGTGGCTCTGATGCAGGCATTCTGCATCCTGTCCTCGCCATGGGTCTTGGTGGAGGGTAACCCTGAGGTGGTGCAGAGATGAAGGCTGCTGCTAAGAATTGTGCCTTTTGCTGTTGTCCCTGAATCCTTTTCACCTCTTTAGCCCTGTCTCTATTGCTAAATACTTTAAATACCAGATTCATGAGCTGATTCATGGGATCTGGGGTCCCCAGCTGCCCACAAGGGGCCTTAGGGGTAGATGATTGGGAAGACCTCTCCGGTGGGGTCCTTCCCAACAGGAAGCAATGGAAGAATTAAAAAATTTCCTAGTAAGATCCCTGGCCTTGGTGCTTCCAGATCCCACAAGGCCCTTCCAGTTCTATGTTAATGAGAGAGGAGGAATAGCCTGGGGGTCCTCACCCAACGGCTGGGTCCTACCCAACAGCCTATGGGATATCTCTCCAAGTGGATAGATCCCACTGCTCGAGGCTGGCCTTCCTGCCTAAGAGAGTAGGGAGCCCTCTCCACT